TAAATTTTACCCTCCTTTTAAAAATTCTCTGGATATTCCACCATATCTTAATCCAAAATGCTTTTATCTCTCTACACGACCACCAAATATGATAATAAGTAGCATCCATACAACCACATCTCCAACATTTAGGTTGTAAGTCGGGGTACATAAAAGACATTTTTTGTGGATCAAGGTGCCATCTATAAAACATTTTATAAAAATTCTCCCTTAAATTCTGTGCTTGTGTAAATTTGACATTTCTCACCCAAATAGTTTCCCAGGTATCCACACCTGTGAATGTTACAAATGTGAGGATAGGCCATAATTGTATTTATTTTCATCATTGTTGTAACTGTGAAAGGTTGCTCTATGAGATAGTTGTTAAAAAGGACTATCTGTAGTTAATGCTTAAGAAAAAAATGTTTGTCTGATTTCACAGGTTGCACCTTCCTATAAAATTAAATTTTATACATATAATTTTTCTATCAGCATTGGTGATGATGAAATTGAACTTTCCCATAATGAACTTGAACATTGGTTAAGCCAACCAACCTACGAAAAGATTGATAAATTGTCAAAGAGATCCAAACAAGCAGAAAGAGCTATGTGCAAATTTTCAGATGATGACCAAACTGAAAGTGGTAAACACCTTATAATTTTTGCTGAATCACAGAAATTGTATGTGATGAACATTTATTTCAAGATGGCACAAAGAAGTGCTGGATTTGTAATTTTCCTAATAGGGCATCCAAGATGGAGATCAACTATATATTATGCAACGACGCAACATTTATTATAAATGTTGAAGTATTACACTGGCTCAACCCTGATGGTGACTATAGGTTATTCTGAGCAATGCTTAAACATAACATCCCTGCTTGATGTCTATTTACAAAAATTATGATGAAAATAGATGCTGCCTTATTTGAAAATGAAATAAAAGACAATAGGTGTATGCAGAAATTGACATAGTGGTGATCCTCACTCAGATGGCCACTACAAGATGTGAGAGGGACTATGAAAATATTTTTGGTCTCAAGAACAATGCCATAGTGAATGACTATATCAAATATAATTATCTGTTGAAGTTGTAACTTCAGAAAGCAACACTATTTAGAGGAATACAGGCGGGAAGTTTGGAGAGTGGGCAACATATAAATAATGTAAATAAACAACCAAACATTGATATTATTGCAATCCACCTTGCAATAGCCAGATCTATTTTCATGTGGGGAAAGGTTCCATTGAGTCTTTCTTAATCCACTTTCCTTACTCCACAAAAAAATGGCAGATAAGGTGGGATAAGGTGAAGGCATGGTCATCCATTGGGAGGGAATCAATGAAGAAATATGCATCATGATTTCTCATGGTTAGGAAAAATTGTGTATAGTTGGAATGTGGAAGAAGATGAGCAAAATGCCTTATGCAAAATCTTTACATAATTTAAGCTAATACGTCTGAATTATCTTGTTCTATCAGTGACAGAGAAACTGCATGTCATAGTCTTGTGTTCTATGAATCAGTGCCACAACTTACAGATATAAGCAAATAACTAAAATACAAGATATCAAATCCCTTTATTTTGTATGGCTATATATTACATCGAGTTTACTGCTTTTTTAATTACTGTCTAAGGAAGTACATTAAAAGGCAGCTTGCATTTATGGAAAATGTCTTTGCCCAAGACAACAAACCTGATCTCCCTAATTGCAAAGTCACCGTTTGTCACTATCCAAAAAGGTTAATGAAATAATTAAGAGTTTAAATTAATCATCGATGACATAAACATATCATCTATTTTTAATCTCTCTCTCTCTCTCTCTCTCTCTCTCTCCCTCTCTCCCCCCTCTATCTCTTTGCAATAGTAATTTTATAGTTACAATTAATACAATTAATGATAAATAGAAAAGATTATGCAGCCCTAGAGATGGGACGGTTTGGAAAAAAAACTGGAAAAATTGGGGGAAAGCCATTTGGAAAAAAATGAGAAAAAAGCTGTTTTTTCCCAATTTTTTCCATTATTTCTAGGTCTTCCCATCTCAGCGCTCACCTGACTATTGCTTTAATTTTGCTCCCTTGTAATATTACAAATAATCTGTTTATTTTGCTGATGCTACAACTTAATCTTGTCTATATGAATAAACTGTGACATCCAAAACATCTAAACATCAATGTAAGGAGGAATGATAACAAGATAGGGCATGCAAAAAATGCAACCGAGAAGCCTAGGCTGTATGGAAACACCAAGAAGTCACAGCATTAAATAATTTAAGGCAGATGCAAATATTCCTTTAACAAACTAGTCAGAGATCGATGAATTGGAGATGCCAAGATAAAACACACAGTAAAGTACAAGCCAGAGATTAAACACCGATTTTACTAAATTAACTGTAGGCCCTGCTGTCACCACATGAAAAGCTATAATGGATGCAATGAGACTGTAGATATTTCCTGGGATGTTCTGAAGGCTGAACCAAGAAACATTTCAGGTTGCCCACAGCATTTCATGAATAGGTCATTTTAATTTATTAGTGGCCACAGGCTGCATGCCGTATCATGAAGCATTAGAGATCTTATACCTCATTCTTTACTGGTTGTGAACTTGTTACTGTAACATTTTATGTCTCTGTCAGCTGTTTCCTAGCTGGGCTGCATGTCACAACTGATTTTTAAAATGAGGCACAGGTAGGCAACCCTTGGAAACCTCTTCCAGCCCAAGGATAAAACTTGCCCAAATCAAGGATACATCAGGGCTAGCACTTTAAACATAACAGGTGGTGACAGGAAAAAGAATTATATTTCAAATAATTTTGTTTACACAATCGGTTGTGTAATATGGTTAATCTTTGGTTCCTCATTTAATATTTTGCATCTTTCATTACATTAAAAACTACAAAAACAGAGTGAATGCCACACCCGAGTCTTTTGACCTCGTCCTTCAAATTGTGTATGTCTATCCTACAGAAATGCTGTCTCACCAGCAATGAGTGAAATACATTGAAATTTAACAGATTAGCTACAGTAAACAGCCATTACTCTTAAATGTCTCTTAAATATAAAAGCTTGTCTTCTGCAGGATAATGCTGTTTTTCTTTAGGATTGCTTACCATAGCAAATGACAGAAACCACTGAGAATGATTAAATTGATCTCGATTTATCTCTACCTTCACAATATGCATTGAATTAGTCTACTATTTCAAAAGACTATTTAGATGTAAATTTGCCAAAGTCTGCTCTGTTAAACTGAGATTTCACTAGATGGAGCTATGTATTTGGAAAGGTTTTCAAAAATATTTTTACTTTAGAACTTGTTCAACATGGGCAGTCCTGTCCTGTAACATGGTGACGTGATCTGTTTAGAGACCACAAAAAGGGTAGAAGAAAGCAGAAGCTGCTTAAATAGTGTAACATATTTTAAATTTATTTAGTGAAGAGTTCTATTTGGGCATCATGGAATCAATTGGATCTTTGCATCCAGTTCATCTTGTGTACCAGTTGCATCCATTCCCAGAATGGGAAACCCTTCAGATGGTTGCTCATGCCCTGGTCACATCACGATTAGATGGCTGTAATGAGTTCTATACATTGGGTTATCCTTCAAAACCATTTGGAAATAACAGCTGGTCCAAAATGCAGTAACACAAGCAGGATGTGTCATTACTGCTCCACCAACTGCACTGCATATCATTTGGCTTTTGAATACCATTCAAGATGCTGTGATCAACTACAGAGATCTTTGTGGATGGCATGGGGACTGGTTATCTGAAGGACAGCTTGTCTCCAGTGTTTTTCGCCTGTCCAATATGATTGAGCAGACTGGGGGACCTTTAAGTTCCCACAATTTAGCAGTGTCACCTAGTGGGACTTAGAAGCTAGCTGTCTTGTCACAGCATCTGTCTCTTGACCAGCATTCCCAGAGATATTTGAATGGTTCCATCCTTTGAGTTTGCATGGCTTAAAAACATGTATTTGCCCCCCAGTTGTGCAGTTAGATTGTTTGTTGAATCCTTGGTAGTTTTGTATGATTTGGGCATTGATCTCCATTAATCAACTTCAAAGCAAACTCAGATCCATTTTTCTGTGCTGCTTCTAAAGTTCTTTCTTGATTATATCATCTCAAGTGCTCATATTTGAAAGAAAACACATCACTTTGTTGCAGACCAATCTTGGTAGTTCACTGGCTCCTTCGCAACGGAAAAAATACTCCTTCAATTGAGCCACTATTAATCATACAGGTTAATGTTTATATTCCTATCTTTACAAGTGTGCTGAAATAGCACAGTGTCTAAAATCTTTGGCTAAGAGAAATGAGACCGTCAATTTGAAACCTGGAATGTTTTTTTTAAAAGTATAATTACTTTCTTATTTTCCTCATAGGTAGTGATCACACACAACTTTTGTAAAAGAATAAACCCACAAGTTTATCTTATCACCATTGTTCTGATCAGCTGGGTTAGTTGGGGGTCTGGGGGATGAAACATTAGTGTACATGCTTCATTGTTTTGTTTTACTTAAAGATGCTTTTTATTTATTCATGAATCTTCACTTTGATGCTTTAAACTATTTTATATACATTAATTTAACTTTAGATTAAATTAAAATTTAAATTAAATTTTCTTTCTCAGAAAGGAAAGCACAGTTTATTTCCTGGATAAGAAAAGTTGGGAGCATACCAAATGGGTCTTAACCAATAGCAATAACATTTACTGCTTCACAGTGCTTTACAGCCCTTTCTAAATAGTTTACAGAATCAGCATATGGCCCCCAACAATCTGGGTCCTCATTTTACTGACATCGGAAGGATGGAAGATTGAGTCAACCTTGAGCTGGTGAGATTCAAGCTGCCAAACTGCTGGCAGCCGGCAGTCAGCAGAATTAGCCTGCAGTATTGCATTCTAGCCATTGTGTCATCATGGTTCTTAACCAATGGGAGGATATGGCAGTCTATCCCCATAGTGATTATCTTTCATGTTCTTGCCAAAATATCTTGGTCCAGACAGGAGTTTCCTAAACCAGCTTGAAGTCCAGTTGGCATGAGCACAGGACAGGAGGAGTTTAAATGATGTGCAGATATCACATCATACCAGCCTATATAAATCTTCAGCTGGATACAAATATCTACTAAGATATCTTCTTATTGCTAGTGGAGCTTTTTAAAATGGTATTGAAGTTTTGGTTTCTGTTTTCCTCTACATTCTTTAAGGCATGACTTGACTCTGTGTATCTTGCAAAAAGTTGACTCCATTAGCAGTGGTGGGTTCTTTGAAACCTAGATGTGTCCATGCTGGGGGGGGGGTGTTGTTATTTACTGTCCCCTTTAAACTTTTCTTGCCAAATCCTTCTGTAATCAGTATCAAAATGTCAAGTACAGGAAATTAGAGAGGTATCATGAGTTGGTGAAAGTTACTTTTTCCATTGTTGCATGCCTAATTTACAAGAATCCACCAAACTAACTGCATTTCCTTGGGAATGGTAAGATAAGGCTTCAGGAGTTGAGTGGGAGGAAGAGCTGCACTGCTTCTTATTGTGCAAGGATTCTAAGCTTGGCTCCCTCTTCACATGTCCCCTTACTCTAGCAGAGACCACACAAAATTATTTAGAAAACAGTATGAACTTTTTTAAAAAAACCTATCACATTATCAATTTATTCTATCCATTTTTGTTATGTACTTTTAATAACTGATTAAAAAAAAGAATTCCTATTAGCGTTTAGCAAAGAATAATTTCTTTGCATTCTGAAATTCTCTCACTGGTTAAAGTTCTAGAATGCTTAACCTGCCAGTTTTAGAAATTCTGTAACAAATGAAAGCCTCTTTGAAACTCATAGGATTTACAATATGAATAATGTGAACTGCTGAATCTTTAATATTTCACACTAAAAGAAAAGCCTCGAGGTAGTTTTTACCATACATGATAATCTCAGGAAATGAATTAATCATAATTTCAGTTCCTTGTGCATATTGTAAATCTGATATTTATTTCGCATGCACTGGCAAGCTCAAAAAAAACTCATATTCATGTATATAGAAAACATTCCCAATGGTGCTTTGGAATGGAAAGGTAAGATGTGATCTCAGAACATCAGGCTGAAATAATAGTACTAGCTCAAAATAAGACTTAACAAATAGTTTTAAAAGACTTTGGTGTGCATTGAATCAAAACAGGTTCATAGTCATAAACAGTCTAGCCTCCTTAATTTACTAGTTTACTTTTCTTTAGAATATTTCTAAAATGAGTCATTTCATACCTCCTTCTTTGTATCTTATGATTTTTTTTCCTTTCTGTCTCCTCTTCCTTGCTTTTAGCATCCTTTTCCTTTTTTCCAATTGTTTGTTTTAGATACATTGATGCCATTCACTGATCTATTCTGATAACTCAGTGAGTATATGTCATCTTTTACCTATTATGTACTTATTTATCTGCTCTGGAGCAATTTTATTGCTGTAGTACACGTATCCAAGTTAAAAATCTAATTCCTGAAGTCCAAAGACTCCATTTGGTTGAACACAGTGGCTTTTGAATTAAAATTTATGGGTGCAAAGTGGCTGAAATATCTTAAATAGTTTTGCAATATGGTTTACCTGAAAAATACTCTTTGAGAATTAGCAATCTCCAGCAATAATTTAATCTTGTACTCCACTGCTCTCTGTACTCACAACCTTCAAGATGAGGAAGAAAAAATATTTGGAGGGTATTTGGAAAAAATAGCTAGAGGAAGACAGTAATGAGTTATTTTCCTTTCTGATCTTCGCATATACTGCATAATATTTGATTTGTGTCATGCTAAAAAATTGGGAATACTCCTTTAATGTAATCACATAAACTATTCTACATGAGGACTTTTTGGTCATGGAATATTGATTTCTTGTGTGAACATTTTATTTCAGAAATAATTGTTTTTTGTTTAAGTGCACAGTTTGGTGGGCAAATCAGTCTTGGCAACTTTTCTTAGAAGTATTTTGCTGTTGCCTTCTGAGAAAAAGTGACTGGCCCAAGGTCCCCCAGCTGGTTTCATTCTTAAGGCAGGACAGGAACTCAAAGTCTCCTAATTTTCATCATGCTGCCTTAAATACTACACCAAACTGGCTTTTGCTCAACATTTACTGATATGAAACTGAATTCAGATAAGGCTGCAAATACTCCAGAGTTCCATTCTTAGGTTGAAAGCTGCTAAAATGTACTGTATTTTATGATACATTATCAATATGGAATTAATCTATTTGTGATTATACTGTTTTATATTCATTATATTATATTTTATATTGATATAAAAAGGTTTTCTTGTCATTGTAATGTGAGAATGTGAACTTTAGGAATCCCAATACTTTGGAGCAAAAAAACAAAAAAAATGAGAATGATTTGTTAAGCCAGTTAGGAAATAACATTAAAATATGCAGTTCAAACAACTTTTACCAGTATACTAAATTGTATTCATAAATGGACCAGAAACTATTAGGAAAAAAAATTAAACGGGTAAACAACCATAAGCCAGTTTGGTGTAGTGGTTAAGGCACATAGGTAGAAACTGGGAGACTGCAAATTTTAGTTCTGCCTTAGGCACAAAGCCAGTTGGGTGACCTTGGGCCATTCACTATTTCACAGCCCTGGAAAGGAAGCAAGGGTTGCTTCTGAAATCTTGCCAAGAAAACTGCAGGTATTGGTTTAGGCAATGCCAGGACGCAACACTGATTCAATGGTACAATTAATCAATCAGCATACTCTAGTCTGCTCAAATTGTTCAGCCCCAATATTCTCTTCTGCACAGATCATTGCAGTAATCCAAACAGAAAATCCATCACTGCATAATCACACGTTAAATGGAACTGTTCCAGCTGGTGTTAAATCTAACATATCAGTTTAAGGAAACAGACGCCACCCTCAGATAGACATTTCTGGACTTAAGCCTTAATGAGAGAAGAAGATTGGTTGCCAGGCTAGCAACCCAACTCTGTAACAGGAATGACACTGTTACTGAAACAATTCAAAAAAGATCTGACTGGAATTGTTGGAAGTCAATCATGACTTGATATGTCTTCAGCACAGATCTAAATCTAAGTCTAAGTCAGTTTCATGGACACAGAAAGAACTTGTTTGTTTAAGGAAAGTTAATAACCAGAAGAAACTCAGAAGTGAGAGATTAATTGTTTAAAGATTGCGTAAGAGGTTCAACATTATTCAACTCCAAGGTATCAGGAAGGAGGTCAAACAGTACTCAACTAGGTGGATATTATAAAGGACTTTTGGGAAGGTGGAAAAAACAGTTTTTCCATTGTATTTTCTGGACACTGCAGATCCTTCAGATTCTCAGTACTTCATATCTTATCCCCATCTAGTCTACATCATGCATCCTTTCAAGCTTTTTTTTTTACATCAATTTTAGAAGATTAGAGTTTTTTCTTCTGGATTGTAGTATTCCCTGAATACAATGTTCTCCTCAGGTATTATTCAAAGAGATATGATTGCAGCCTAAGTAAATGAAAAATAACTATGTTTGGATTCTGTGCATAAGATTCTCGCAAGGACTTCAGTTGGGCTTATCCAAAGGAAGTCTTCATAAAATTGCAGCTTAAAAAAATATCTCCACTGTTGTACTTCTGTATGTTATACTTGCCTTACAGCCCTCTTGGCATTGTTTGTTCCCAATGTTTTTCCTTCTTCACAAAGAAAATAATTATATGTTTTCTTCATCCTCTGTTCCCACCGTTCTCCTTTTGTTTTTGATTTTTAAAGATATTAGCTATTGTTAATTGCTTCCAAGGTTTCCATTAATTGAATTTAAAAAATAAATAAATAAAGGAATATCTAGAATTACTACTTACCTCATTTATAAAGGTTGACTTCAAAAATATTCAGTATTGTATTATCTCTGATTTTAGTTGATTTTATGAAGACTTGAGACTTCTCTTTGATAAGAACTTTTTCTCGCTATTTATTAACATATCTTTTTTCTCCTACCTAGTGGAATGGTATTTTTCTACCCAGAGGGAAAGTTCTAGTGTATATACACACTGAGCTTAAAATGAAATTATCTTCACATCAAACTTTCTGATACACCTATCTCATTTTCTTGGTAATGACAGATAAATAATTAGCCACTATCTTCTTCCAGTCTAAGCTGCAGTTTTGGTATTCTCTGCTGGTCTGCCATACAAGGGCTGGCCTTGGTTAGCTTAACTTCACGGCCCAGACAAGGTCAGCCAGATGTTGCAATCAAGTAAGACATAATTAAAATTAATTTATTCAAACAATGGTTCAGTTAAGAAGGAAAAAAAGATCCTTTCAATTGAACCATTGTTTAACTATAAGCCTATATTCAGGTTAGAGTCATCAATGTTTTCAGAATTATTTCTGAAATTTCTTCAGTGAGGTGTAATGAATTTAAATGCAAAAAGTATAAAGGAACAAAGCATATTAAGAATAAAATAGTTTCCAGTGAAATAAAACTAGATAACATGATGTCTCTTCCTCAGAACTGATGATTTAAATTGGGTTCTTTATTCCCGTCTTGACTATGGAAATTCTGAATGACCAAAACATTATAGCACTGAGAGCAAAGCAGCATCACATTTTTACAACAGAATAATTACAAGTATCGTTTACGGAAACCCACTACCTCTAATTATTTCTTAATACTTATATACAGCAATTCAGTAGCAAGATTAAAGTATTATTATAACACTTTCAGTGTAGTAATCTGCTACGAAGAAGTAAATTAAAGCTCTGATAATGACAATAATATTTATACACATACAGATTCATATGCTTTGTTGCATCATAAACTATTTCTAATAGTCAATGAAAATAAGTTTGGTTCTCAGTGAACAAGTTCATCATCTGCATATAAAAATAGACATATATGCATTTCTCAATATCAACATACCTTTAATATATTACCACAAGCATTCCCTGAGGACATTAATTAACCAAAAGACGATCATACATCCTTGTCCTATTCTCTGCTGAACCATTTACTAAGTATTCTTTTTATTCTCATACGTACTTTATTTTTTATTATATACTAGTTTTATAATATTCCAGGATCAACCTTCACCCTTGTGAAAAACACAGATAGTCCCTCATTTAGCAACCATTTTCAATTATGACACTGATGAAAAAGAAACTTGAGACCAATGGCCACATTGCTTCACAGCAACTCTCAGTCATCCCTTTGCCATTAAAGTCATTTGGTACGCATTGTCCTATGCTTCATTTCCTCACTCAGCTGTTTGGGGTCATATCCTTCTGACACTGTAAAGCAGTGGTTCTCAACCTGTGGGTCGGGACCCCATTTGGGGTCGAACGACCATTTCACGGGGGTCGCCAAACAACGCAGTCTGCCATTTTTTCCCCCTTTTCCTTAGCTGTGCTACTCCCTTTTATTCTATTGGCTTTTGAAAGCCAATAGAATAGACTCTCTTGAATAGAGTCTAATTCTATTGGCTTTCAAAAGCCAATAGGAATTGTCCAGGCTGTCTCTGCCCTGCTGAGACCGCCAAAAGTCCCATTCTGCAAACGGTGCTGCACCAGTTGAGTAGTCCTCGACTTACGACTGGTTGAGTAGTCCTTGACTTACGACCGGTTGGGAGTCGCGGCATTAAAAAGGTTGAGAACCACTGCTGTAAAATAAAGGAAAGCTGAAATAAAATCATAGGCACAGTCATGGTCACCTGATTTTTCACTTGGCCACCACTTCCCTTAATGACCGCTTCCAATTGCGGTCATTAAATGAGGATTATATGTATTTTGTAATTTAAGTTTATTCACTTTATTATATTTATTTATTCCTATAAATTAACAAAGGCATACATTTGCCTACATATCATACATTTATCAATGACATGTGATCTGCAAACCCCCTGCCGAATATAATCATGAAACACAGGAGGTCACTCTCTAGGCCCCTCTTCTATGGGGTGCCACAGGACTTGACTTTTCTCCTCTCCTATTTAGCCTCTACATTAAATTTCTGAATGAGGCCCTTCATAGGTTTAGGTTTTAGTATCATCAGTATGCTGTAACAGTTTCTTTCCACAATATCATAATGCCTTCAATTTTTTTTATTGCACCCTTCTTTGTTTTAATTATTTACTCCTCTAAAAGTATAAAGTTCCATATGCCAAGGTTGTCACCAGCAGGTTCATGGACATTGACCTCAATGGGCCATCATGACTTTGATCAAAGCTTTCACATAGATTTTTTAATACTATAAGGAACGTATAACCTAATTTACCCATCCTACTCATGTTCAGTATTTAACCAAAGGTATACAGAAACTAGCTGGACCATAAGAAAGGCTGAGCACCAAAGAACTGAGGCCTTTGAACTATGGTGCTGGAGAAGACTCCTGCAAGGACTGCATGGTGTTCAAACCGGTCAGTCCTAGAAGAGATCAACCCCGACTGCTCTTTAGAAGGCCAGATCCTGAAGTTGAAACTCAAATACTTTGGCCACCTAATGAGAAGGAAGGACTCACTGGAGAAGGGCCTAATGCTGGGAAAGATTGAGGGCAATAGAAGAAAGGGACGACAGAGAATGAGATGGCTGGATGGAGTCACTGAAGCAGTAGGTGTGAACTTAAATGGACTCCAGAAGATGGTAGAGGACAGGAAGACCTGGAGGAACGTTGTTCATGGGGTCGCAATGGGTCGGACATGACTTCGCAATTAACAACAACAACAACATATAGAAACTAGGCCTACTCTTGACTAAAGTTTTATCATACCTGCCTTCAGTTGGATATGTGCATTTGAGATACAGCAAAGTATCTGGAAAGCTGCTCTGATGAATTTAGATTGTACCTCTTCAAGGAAAAGAACCTGGAGGGCCAGCCAGAGTCCCGTGGAGGTGCTGGGTCTGAAGCTTAGCCAGAGTCCCACGAAGGAGCTGGGTTTGAGGCTTAGTCTGAAAGAGCTTAAGTGGCTGGAAAATCTGTACTAGTTAATTTAGGCAGATTTTGGTTTTGTGTCCCCATGGTCATGTGATCGTAAGCAAAGTCAATGGGGACACTGGCAGGAGGGTGCTTGTGTGACCATGGGACACTGCGACTATGCACGATTTTCCTTCATGACAACTGAGACTGCCACAATTGTTGTCATAAAAAACGGTGGCCATGTGATGTGCTTTACGACCATATTGGTCCCAATTACTATAGTTAAGACTATATGTAATTAATTTTTAACATTTGTAACATTTATTTTCCCAGGTTTTTACCGAGTCCCTGCATTGATACAAAAAACTTCAGTTTTAAATCGAGCAATCAAAATTCCATTCAGTTCTTTGATGAGAAATACAAGCCTTCTTTGGTGGAGAAGATAAAGTCTCACCGGATAAAAATGCAGACAACAGAAAACGAGGTTCTGTTTAATTTTTTTAAGGCAAGGAAGCAAACAACAACAAAAATTGTGCTCAGGGAAAGTAAATGATATCTGTCTACAGTCTTTCAATTTCTCGAAAGTGAGAGGGCAATAAAAGGGCTGCCAAATCAGAATAAACCTGAAAAAGAAATATTCTGCAGTCCGTGATTGAAAGTGAACATAAAAGGCTGTCAGGTAGATGGATGCCTTATTGCTATTTCATATTTGAAAGTGGGAAACAAGGACAAAAAACAGCTGAAGATGTGAAATCTCATGTCTTCCATCTATTTCAGGGGACCTGGCAGATGCAGCTAACCTTGGCTTTTGATCATGATCATATTCCCTATGCTTTTCTACACATTGATCAGCTGATCCACCTGATGAAAGCTTGTCACAGAGAGTACGCTAGAGAATTATATTTATTATGTACACATTTCTCACTGTTACGTTTTTACAGCAAACAAGCTCTGAATGCCAAAAAAAAAGGAGGTTAGCAAGTAAATATAGTTGCAGCACAGTGGGAAGTGGACTGATAACAACCCCTCAAATTCAGCTTGCAAATCTTCAATTTCTTCTTTCAAATTTGAGACAACAAAAGCAGATCCTTGCAAACTGCTTGCTGTGTGTTCAACACAGTTGGCATTCTTATCTTTTAGCATTGTCAACTCTCACTTTTATTCTGTATAGTTAATCCATACTCCTCTATTAAAGAACAACAATAAAAATTCAGGGTTATATAGAATTTCTTCCAAATCTATTTCAGCATACTCTCAGGAAGTGATCAGGAATAAAAATATTAGAAGGAACCATTTAGGTCATTGGATCCAATTTCCTATTTACTTCAGGGATCCAGATTAAAATATTCCTGATGGATCTAGCTAGTCTACATTTAAACACATCCAGTATAATTTCCTGTATTTGGAAACTCTGTTAATTTGTTAATGCAACCTATAATTTTATTTACATTTTTGCATACAGATGATTCTATTTGTTTTGCCAGTTAACAATGTTTTTTTAAGAATTATTACCAAGAGAGAAATTATTGGATATTTGTTTGTTGTTTATTTAAGGAATTTTATACTTTCTATATGTTAAATTTCATATTATTATTTTCATTCCAGTAAGATTATTTTTAGTATTATTTCCAGCTTATCAGCTAAATCCTTCTGTTTTCCAGATGCAAATAAAAAGCATTTTGTTTATTCAAATATCAATAAGAAATATTGAATAATAGAAGGCTTGGGGCAGAATCTTGGGGTATCCCACTTGACATTGCAGTCCAGTGTGATAAAGAACCATGATGAGCATTCCTTCAAGCCAGCTATGTAATCATTTCAATGTCATACCATCCAGGCCACAATTAACTAGCTTGTTGATCAGACTGATGCTCTACAAAATGCTTTGTTGAAATCAATATATATTATGTCTACAATGTTCCCACATCTATTAAAAAATGAGATGAAGTTAATCTTGGAAGACTTATTCATGACAAATTCATGCTGATTTCTCGTAATTATTATATTATTTCCAAGGTGATTACAGACTGATTGCTTTATGATGTACTTTTGAATCTTCTTAGATATCTGCTATGAGCTTGCCTAGGTCACTAGGGCTTTGTATCCAATTTTTCCTCCATTTTTACAATAATTTCATGTTCTGTGGGATTTCTAATGGAGAATCAAAAAGGCATTCTGTATATGACATCATGATGCACTTTGCAAAGGGGTGGACTTTGCATTGTGATGTTATATTGGCCTTGCTGGCATCCCTCCGCAAATGACTCTGAACACATCCAGGAAGCCCTGTTCACTTTTCTCAGACATATCTCTCTTAGTAGTGGGGCAGGTAACTTTTGCACAGATGAAAAACTGTGCAGAGAGAAACTACAGCATTTGGAGAATTAAGTTTCTAAAAAGAACTCTGGAGATTTGGTTCTTATATAGTATTATGATTGGAAAGCCTCAGCTGTCTACATAGTCTATAACAGTGATGGCGAACCTTTTAGAGACCGAGTGCTCAAACTGCAACCCAAAACCCACTTATGCATTGTCGGGTGCCGGGTGGGTGTGGTCCATTGGGTGGGTGTGGCTGCGGTGGTAATGGCAGACTGGGTGGGACTAAAAAGTTCGATCAATCAATTCCAACTTTGCAAGATCTTTTTTTTTCCAGCGAGAAGTTGAAATTGACTGATTGATTGAACCTTTTTTTTGTGTGTACACGGCGGCGGAGGCCTAAAGCAAAAAGGTTTTATAAAACCCAGCTGAAGACCTAGGACCTAGCTCTGAGTGCTGCCTCTGGCACCTGTGTCATAGGTTCGCCACCACTGTTCTATAACTTACCGCTAGCATAGTGCTTCATCTATTACCAAAGAAACAGAAAAAAAAATGAAAAAGCAAGAACTAGAAGTGTTGACAGCCTGAAAATATAAATCTAAGCTGGAATTTTTATCCCACAGAACCCCCAGGGGTTCTATAAGGGACTAAAAGTTGGAAGGGGGGGGGGAAATTCACTCAATTTTATATCACTGATGCTCTGCCCTATGACCTGAGTTCCAGGAATTGTTTTAAACTAATTGTTTTAAACTAATTGACAACTGGACAATGTAAACAGATTCTCTGTGCCTTTCTTATAGCTCAAAGACTGATTGCAACATTGAAAATATAAATGTATGGCCCATGTACTCAATAGATTGAGGACCTGACTACACTTGCTAGCTATAAGTGGAGAGCCTATAGGTGTAGACTTTGTTTGGGAATATAATGAAACATGCAAATTTGCATATTTCTGCAAAAGTATGAATAGCTAAATCTAACTGAAATGTGAAAAGCTATAAGATATAAAAGATATACAGTATGAATTAAAAATTAAAAAGTATATATGGAAAGCAAGAAAGATGGGGTAGGATCATTAGATGTGTATAGGGCCATGCTGGCTCAGGAATTCTGGGAGTTGAAGTCCACGAGTCATAAAAGAGCCAAGGTTGCCTACCCCTGGGAAACATAAAAAAATTAGTATGTGGAAGACATATCAATCAAGTTACAAAGCACTGTAATATGGCAAACAAGGTGCTCATTAAATCTAGATTTATAGCACAGGTCCTCATCGAACAAATTTTCAGCGCTGCTGCACCAAACCTGGGAATATTATATACCGTAGCGGGGTTAGTATCTGAAAACAGAAAGGAGCTGTAGAATTATCCAGTGCGCCCTGGGTATGTACAGAATAAAGGTGAGAGGAAGCTAGTATGAATTCTCTATGATGCAGGCACTGGAGAAGCACATGCTCTGTTATATCTGCGTGTCCAGGGCCACAGGACACTGGCCTCTCAAGGTAAAGAAATTTTCAAATCAACCTTCAAGGGCAGCTGAGATGAGGCCATGAAACTGTGCCAGGGTGAAGGCCTTTCTGTATACCAAGTCAGCAATTATGTTTATCTCTGATAAATCTGTAAAACATTTAAAGTGACTTCATGGGTTGTCTCATCCATTGCCGAGTAAAGAAATGAGAATCAGCCGACTTTCTTCTGGGAGAAGGAAATGTTTGTTTGTGATTGTTCAAATCCCTGAAAAAAGTGAGTTATCACCATTTTTCATATTTACGACCACTCTGGTTTCCCTGTGGTTATGTAATCAAAATTCACATGCTTGGCAACTGGTTCATATTTATGACGGTTGCAGGATCACAGGATCATGGATAACTTTTGTGACCTTCTGACAAGCAAAATCAACGAGGAAGTCACATTCACTTAACAGCTGTGCTACTAACTTAACAACTGCAAATGTTGAGCTCAATTGTGGTTGTACAGTAAGGCGAGAACTAGCTGTATAGTATTTTAAATTATATATTATAAAATAATTAGATTCTTATAGCTAGAATCATTTATTATGGAAGAAGAGATAGGACACATCACCAATAATTTGCCCCACTGTTGTTTTATGGGACAGGTTCAAGAGAAGGGGAAAAAGAATGGAGACTGGTGAACATTGGCAAAAGGTTCCTACTTCTCATTGCTGTGGGTGTGTTTGCTGAGAGACTGCTCTGCCAATGGATCTAACTTCAGGATGCCATACTGAACTTTATTTTTTTAGTAGCATATTTCAAAGAAGCAAAGCAAGAAATCACAGTAAAATTAATTCTCTCAAATCAGCTGAAGATGAGAGACCAAGTAGCCTCGATTCAGATCTTATTAAAATAATTACAAATGCATTTCTATATTTTCTTAATTTAAAGAAAAGCGACTCATAAATAGGTATTGTTTCTCTAGTACTAAAACTACCTTTCCTCTCTGTGACATGTTTCCCTTATTGAGTTAAAAAAACAACATTACAGTGTTTATTCCTTGCATTGCCTTGTTATAGCCTCAATATTATAACCCCAGGTCCCTGTTAAAGCTGTGATCACAAGTATAAATCTGTCAGGAATTGGGTTTGAAATTTAAAACACTTAAGTATAATAAAATGTTTATGTTATGACAAGCTTACTGTACTCCATGCTTCATTTCAGCCATCGGGAAATCTTAGCTATAGTTTTATTCTACCCTGGAAGCCAAGAAACCCAGAGAAAAAACTGCTGAGCTAAAGACAATCAAAGTAGGCTATCTGTTTTAAATCATGATTTGCCTCTTTGTATCAGACATTCAGCCAAGACACAGCAGTAAATCTCTGTCTAGAAACTCAACCAGCATTTAGGAGCTAAGAACAGAGTCAAGGACAAGATGTGGACAGATATGTTGTTTTTACTGTAGATCTGAGAAGTCCTATTAATAAAGAAGATCAGAAATGCAGCAACCAAGGACTTATTAAGCGGGTATTTTTCTCTTGCCATTGGCCGGTGTGAGCAATGGACATTCTGTTCATTTCCTGGCACTGGAAATACAAAACCTGCACCTTGCCAGTTTGGGCTCTCACAATGTTTGGAAACCAAACAAGATTTAAGTTTGACATTATACTTATTTGCCACACTGGCTGAACTCAACCACTGTTTGAAAGTGACACATATAGCTGCAGCAGCAATGGTATGTGGTAAATAATTCATCATGTGGCTGATATTAATGTACAGAAAAACATGAGTTAAGTTGCTTGCTAGTTATGACAACTTAAAATTATTACAGTACTAACATTAGATCTAAATGACTATTAGCTCATGATGGTTACCACGAATAATACTGAGTTAATTAAGAAAGCTCTGTAACTAATTCAGATATTTCCCACTTGCATGTCATCAGCTACATTATTAAAGATAAAGATCTGAAATATATATATACACATTTTCAGACAACCTCTGACAAAACTGTTTCACTGAAAAAAAATGGACATTAATTCTAAGTTGGTACTAGAAGCAGATTTCAGTGGATGAAATCTTCATTTTTTTTACGATATTCTATTGGTGCCTTCAAGGGGTGCTGATAATCTCACACAATCTATTTTTAAGAATTCACAAACTTGTTAAAAATACACAATATAAAATAAGCCAAGGGAATAATTGCAGCCCAGAGGCAAAATTAAAGACAGAAAATCTGGTAATGGGATTATCTTGCAATAAACAAGCTTAAAAAAAAGAATTTTAAACTTTTATTCATACAATTTTTAACTGTTGCGTAATAAAGTTATTAGTGATCCTTCTGTCCATAAAGTCAATTTTGGGGAAGATA